CTGTAGCCCAGTTGAACCGTAGCCCCCACTGCCGTACCAGCTGTCCCCCACCACTGTTGTACATGTGATCATAGCTGGCGAGACGAACAGCACCCACGGATGCCCGCAGGCCCCCCACTGCTGTGTTGCTCTTGCCGAGAGAGAACATAATAATCTATTCAAAGAAACCAAGGATAAGGAGGGTCTAGACTAGATGTGTACGGTATGTTGAAAGAAGGAAATGTTCAAGGAGTACCTACTGCATGGATATGTATGGTGAAGGACAAAGCTGAAGGTCAAGTTCAGGACCAGGGATATTGGCCTTCGAGAAAATAGACGAAGATTTAGGAAGGTAGACGATGAAGACGACAAGCAAATTCAAATATACATCATTGCGGCTCAGAGTGCGAAGACCGGGTTCATGTAGTTGCGGAATGTCCGTTGTGCAAGAAATAGAGCGAAGGACGTAAGTGTACATGGCTGAGCTGGCAATGTCAGAAGGGGTTATTTTACAGGGAGATGTTTGAGGCATGAAATGACCGGGGAAAGGCGGTAGCTCTTGGGCAGGCATTGGAAGTGGGTTGACAAGCCGGGAAGTCGTATCGATAGGAGAGATAGACCACGTATGATGCTGCAGGGAAAGCATTTTTGAGACACCTTTGGCAAAGAAGGTAGAAGAGAACGATTGGCCATCGGTGATCGGTCCTCCTGCGGGAACAAAGCTCCATCCTCTCGAGGACGTGTGGTCAATGGTCTAACCGCTCAGTAAGGCATGCAAAACATTAGAGCACGCTCCTCCCCCCCACGGTGTTCACCATCGGGGTTGGGTTTTCGTCGCTTGGCAACGACGTTGTAAACAAGTCGGTGTTTGCCGTCCGGATTGGGTTTTCGTCGCTTGGCAACGACGTTGTAAAACAAGCCGCTTCACTTCATGAATTCGGCAACCAGGGTATCGTTTTTTTTTTACCCCCTTTTTTTTTTGGCGGTAACCGTAATGGTGGTCGAGTAGATCATGTTGTGCGGGGNGTAGAAAGGAACGATTGGCCATCGGTGATCGGTCCTCCTGCGGGAACAAAGCTCCATCCTCTCGAGGACGTGTGGTCAATGGTCTAACCGCTCAGTAAGGCATGCAAAACATTAGAGCACGCTCCTCCCCCCCACGGTGTTCACCATCGGGGTTGGGTTTTCGTCGCTTGGCAACGACGTTGTAAAACAAGCCATTTCACTTCATGAATTCGGCAACCAGGGTATCGTTTTTTTTTTACCCCCTTTTTTTTTTGGCGGTAACCGTAATGGTGGTCGAGTAGATCATGTTGTGCGGGGTCGAGAACCCTCACTGCGCGCAAGGGGGATGATCGCACCACGTTGTCTTAAAATGGACAAGCACCCTCGAGGCAGTGATACACAGCTAGTGCTTACAACTGTTTCAGAAAGTGAAAGCACCAGCAAATAAATCAAGTCATACGCAGCTGTCATCCGTACGCAAGGAAGTAAGCACAAGAATCTAAATGCCGAACACCCTTAGCAGGATGCAGCGCACCCTTCATGCGACTCGCCGAATATCTCACGGCGCTTCGCGCTTGGTGATGTGAGAGCCTGGTCCGGTGAGAACCCGGCGTNTAACTGTCTCTGGAAGTGAAAGCACCAGACAAGTAATCAAGTCATACGCAGCTGTCATCCGTACGCAAGGAAGTAAGCACAAGAATCTGAA